TTGTCCCCACTGCCAGGGTGGCCTGGGTGGCCCTGACCTCTCCCTGAGCCAATTCCCACCCTTTTCCTTCCCACAGTGGCCTCGGAATCTGAGCTTCCAGAGCAGGAGAAGGCCTTCATGCAGTTCCACCTCACCATGCCGGAGGGGCCATCGCTCCGTGTCCTGCTGCAGGATCCCGAGGAGAGGAGGAAGTTGGGTGAGCACCTCTGGGGACAAAGCTCCTTCAGGATTGGATGAAATTTTAGGGGGGGGGGATCTCTCCGTGCAAAGACACTTTTTGGTGGGATTTCCTGGCGAACAAGTTCTCCTGGGAGGGCAGGGAAGCATCACAATCTCCTTTAGGGTGTTGGGGACCAGCTCGTGGTGCCTTCACCAGCCTGTCCAGCTCTGTTTGGCAGTGAAAGCTCCAAGGTGTTCTGAGCCAGGTGGCATCATCCTCCTGGAGAAATCCATAGGGACATGGAGATCCTGGAAGCTCCTGGGCTTGGCTTTAGCTTGGGCTGCTGACTTGGCTTGACAATAAAACCTCCAGGTATTCTGAGCCAGGTGACATCATTCTCGTGGAGAAATCCATAGAGGACATGGAGATCCTGGAAGCTCCTTGGTTTGGGCTTGGCTTGGCAATAAAACCTCCATGTGTTTGACAGTAAAACTTCCAGGTGTTCTTATCCAGGTGACATCATCCTCCTGGAGAAATCCATAGGGACATGGAGATCCTGGAAGCTCCTGGGCTTGGGCTGCTGACTTGGCTCGATAACAAGCCGCAGCAGATGCTTCAGGGGGTGGCTTTTTTAGCTGCAGCAAAAAAGCTTGGGAGACAAGAACTTCTTCCCATGCAGATTTTTTTCAGCTCCAGGGGAAGAACAGAACGTTGCTTGTTCAGCTGGAGTCGTGTTTTGGCAGCTCCTCCCCAGCGAGAGCAAGCTCAGCACCCTCAGTTTGGGGTGTCACCTCCTGGGGCTCTTCCCCCTCCTTGCAGCACGTGGGAAAGGAGACAGTTCCCACCAGGAATGAGTTGGGCAAAGTCCCCTCAGCTGCTCAGCCGGATTTCAGTGGGAAGGGGAGGTGGAGAACCTCCAAAACGAACCCTGAAATCGGCGTTGTGGCGACACCACCCCAACCCCCTCAGCTGTTCTCGTCGGGTTTGTTCCACATTCCAGCTCTTCCTGATTTTTTCTGTGGGGAGTGAGCTCTGCTCGACATCAGCTGGTGGAAAATGGATGTGCAGCACCAGCCTCAGCTTGGTTTTGGTTTAAAGGAAGGGAAGAAACACAGAGAGGTTGGGAATTCCCCACCCCTGGAAGTGTCCAAGGCCAGGTTGGCCGGGACTTGGAGCAACCTGGTCTGTGGAAGATGTTCCTGCCCTTGGCAGGGGGTTGGGACGAGATGATCTTGAAGGTCCCTTCCAGCCCTAATTGTTCTGTGAGTTTTAAACTTGTGGCATTAAAATCATCTCCCTGGGAGGATATTTATTGCCCTCTTCCCTCATCTCCTGATCTCATGGGATTGTGTTTTATCAGACATACTGTATCCCATCATCTTTAGCAGAGTGGAGCCAAAAGCTTGCACAACTTCCAAGCCCCTCCCCTATTCCTTATATTTTTCTATTCCTCTGTTCCTCTTGGTTTGTATTATTATTGGGGTTTTTTTAAATTATTTTATTATTTTTAATTCTTAATTCTTATTTTTATGATTTTATGCAGTGACAGGACATGAGGGAATGGCTTTAAGCTGAAGGAGGGTACATTTAGATTGGATATTAGGAAGGAATTCTTCTTCCATGTCCAACCTGGAGAAGGGAAGGCTCCAGGGAGACCTTGGAGCCCCTTCCAGCTCCTAAAGGGGCTCCAGGAGAGTTGGAGAGGGACTTGGGACAAGGAATGGAGTGACAGGATACAAGGAATTGCTTCCCACTGCCAAAGGGCAGTGTTAGATGGGATATTGGGAAGGAATTCTTGGCTGGGAGAGTGGGGAGGAGCTGGGATGGAATTCCCAGAGAAGCTGGGGCTGCCCCATCCCTGCAAGTATCCGAGGCCAGATTGGATCAGCCTGGGCTAGTGGAAGGTGTCTCTGCCCACAGGCAGGGGCTTGGAACTGGATGATCTTCCAGGTCCCATCCAACCCAAACCATTCCTTGATTCCATGATTATTATCCTTATTATCCCCCATCATTTCCCAGCCGTTGCTTGCTGACATCGAGCGCTTTGCTCGAATACAACTGGCACTGTTGTGCAACCGATATTTTTTTTTGGGGGGGGGGGGGGGGGGGGCTGGGGGGGAATCTCCTCCTCTCTGTTTTCCATCCGACCCCAAAACCATTCCCTCCGTTAGGAAACTTCCTCGGGAGCCTGGAGCGGAGCCGATCCTCTCCCTGGATTCTGTTGCCCCCGTGTGTCCCGAGCCTGAAACGCTCCAGGCACGGGCGTTTCCAAGCGACGCGTACACACGCGGGGAGA